ACTGGTACAAACGCTAACCCTAAACCCTAAGCTCAAGCCAGAGTAGTTTTCTAGCAATCCATGGGTTTTGGACAGGGATTGTATAGGGGTTACATAGGGATAATGGAAAAGAACTTGGAAACTACTATTTAGTGTTTAGGGCTTCGGGGTCATAGGGCATAAAGGAACATGTCATATGAGGATTATATTACCATATTCTCTGCAAACCACCAGCAAGTCAAAAGCTTCACAGAATGCAAAAAGAAGTTCAACTTTCTTTGTCCGAACCTTTTACAAGATGTAGGTTTGCCTATTTCTGCTCTATCCCGTGCGAAGAAAAGTTCAAACAGACTCAACATCTGCCGAGGTGCAAGAGAGCTGTTGACACCCTGTGGGCACCATGTGGAGCCTCAGCCAGAATTTAGGGTTTAGGGTTTAGCAATTGCAAGGGATTCGCAATCTCACCTGAGGTCCTGGCACGTCATCTTCCTGCAGGACAAGTTTTGAGATCCCCTTGAAATGAGCTATAGTCGAAACTCCTAGTATTCCCCTGAACAGCCCCCATAATACTCACCCTTTAAGAAGTTTAGCCTATAGCTCAAATGAGCAGAAGTCAGGATCTGGGATTCCCTGCGCTTTTGAAGAAGATGAGGCCTGTCATTGGGCCACACATCTGGCAAAGGCCTTCACCGTCCCATGCGCATCCAGGCGCCTGATGTGAGGACCCTCAGGAAGCTGCCAGGGAACTTGTCTGCCTGTCAACATGGCATCTGATGAGCTCTAGGACAGTCAAGATTACCTCTCAGGAATTCTGTGCAATGCCAAAGAAACCATGCATTTTCAACCAGACCCTACACGCTAAACTGAACGCAAGCTGGTTCCGAGCACCGAGGCTCCAACCTCACCAACTGCGTCATGAACGTGGGCGCCCGCACCCGCCCGCGCACGAGGCAGCCTGGCTGCGTTACTGTTTATTTAAGGAATTCAAATTAATCAGGACCTTCCTTGTAGACCCTTATTAGGGTACATAGAGGGTAGGTGGTGGGTCTAGGATAGAGTAAATATGGGGTTCCCTGATGATAGCAATTAGAAAAGGTTCTAAACAGCAACCCAGAAGCACTGCGTGGCTGGCATTGGGTAAGGTTGATGTTGGCATTGCTGTGGTTGTGGGCTTGGAAGAGCTCGAAGGCAATGAGGTTGATGGAAACTGATCGGCTTTTGTGTGTGCGGCAGGCAACACTGGCTTCGGCAAAGCCGTGGCGTTGATGATGGGAATGGATACTTCTGCCTGCCACGGACCCTGAACGAAAGGTTTTCTTGGGCAGGCAAGTGCATTCTCAGCCAAGGACGATAGGTGGTGGAGTCATCAGTGGAGGTGTCGACATTGCCTACATCAACCATGTGTGTTCAACATCAGGCGATTCCCATCTGCACTGAGACGCTGGCTGGCATAATTGTCGTTGTCGCCACATGCTCATGAAGATCCTCCGGGACCGGCAAAGATCACTGAGATTCTTCCTGATCACTTTTTTTTTTTTTTTTTT